TTATAAGAAACCTCCAGGACAAACTCGCCTTCTAGGACAAAATGGAGAACTTGGCATGCACTTGTTATTTCTATAAATTGACCCGCCAGCCAGAATTTCAAGCCGGACCTCCTCCCGGCCACATGGCTCCCGTTTGTTGTCGACGGGAAGAAATGTGGAAATCTCCGCGGGCCGGCCGCCAAGTGAAGGACGAAGGTCTCAGTCACTGCGACCAAATTTTTCCCTTTCAGCTCCAGTCGCCTGAATTGAGCCACCCACTCTTATTTCCTGGACCACAATCACTTGAGATCTTTTACAAACAATGAGTAATCTAGTATTCCTTCCAGTGTGCATTAGACGCTTATTTTCACTTCATCCAAAATTACACTCGTAGTGTAACAACACCACTAAACAGTAAGAGCCTTGTGCTGTGCCAACACAGTAGAGCCCATAAAAATAGATAATGTCGGGCGGTTAATAAAGAGGACAAGACGATTGATCAAAGATCAACCTGCCTAGAATCAGACACTGACTCCAGCGTGAAAGTCTGACCTCTCATATTTGAATTAAACAGCAAGTAAATATAAAAGGACGTAGCTTACCATCAGCAAAATGGAAATGTTTGCAAATGCATAACTAACGACCAATTTGGTTATGTAATCTTTTTTTTCCTCTGATGGTATGCCGTCTACAGCACAGAACATGCTGTCTTTGACCACTGAGCTTTAAAATTTCCCTATAGCTGGTCTCTTTAAAGCCACTGCAATCAATATCTTTGTATAAACAATAAAACAAGTCTCCTTAACGGAATCACTCATATCAAATAAACAGAAGGACAGCGACTTTCGGTGCATTTGTATCTAACGGCCCACAGATTATCTGTTTTGGTTGAGTTTCGGTGCTCACATCAGGATATTCTGGTTGTTTTTAGTAAAAGAAAGCTACAGTCGAGCCACATGTACCTGAAATGAAACACCATATGGGCAAAGAGGTGAACAGCTGCTGAGCAAAAAAGGGACATGTGTGCAGCTTTTCTGATGCGTCTTTGTTCCTATCTGTTTTATATTTGTCCAATTTCGATCACAGCAGCAACAACTGCAAAAAAAGAACCATAAAAGATTACATACCATACTAACTAGAAATTTAAATGGCATATGGGGAAATAGACAAATAGTTTAAGTCAGGCAAGCTTTAAAGAAAACCGATACAGTACATACTTGAACGATTTTTGGTTATCCATTCAGTTAGCAGTCAGTAAATGTCGCTGGCTGTCCTCATTCAACATGTACAAATACATCTTGTGGTATATTTCTCTTTCTTATCTTAGCTATACATCACTCTCGTCGTTGCATCTGCTGGTACATTTTCGGGGAGGGAATGGTCTTAATATGTCTAATGACTATGTTTGTTGTTTGTTTTTGTGGGTCTCTATGTAAGAATACCTTTATTAGTCCACTTTTAAAACAATGTGCTATTACTGGTCAGGAACTGACCTGTTAAGACGCCAAGTTAAAAGATTTCAACCCACTTTGCACATCTGTGTAAGAGGATGCTCAGTAATGTGCATCATTATGATGTTTCATGTGTGTCACAGTGTTTGTCAAACAATGTTTCTCACTGTGCCAGAGAGGCCAAACGCACATATGTTGCCGTTAATTAGTCCCGACTCCAGCTGTGCCACTGAGAATTCCCATCTCTCCGAGCGCCGAGTCGCTGACAGATGAAGCACAGTCTGCTTCATCTGTGAGACACCACCTCCTTACCCAACTCCCCCACCCACCCACCCACCACCCCAATATGCATCTCTCTACATCTGCTTTGTATTAACTCGTTGCCATGCAGGAAAAAACAATCCTTTTGTAGTCTATTCCAGCCAATCAGGAAGCGAATCGGGGGCAGTTTCCTGTTTCCTGTGTTTCCCCCCAGACGGTACAGGCTCGGATCCAGTAGTCCAGTTGGGTTTCCGATATACATTTGTTCCTCCAGGAAGTCGAGGGGAGTCATCACCTGGCAGGCCGTAATAATAAGCGCTCTTATTATTACGCAAATAATACGAGTGTGTGGCTGGTTTTCGACTCTGAGTCATCGGCCAACCGCAGCCTCATGCCAAAGGACAGGCTCTGATGAAAACAGTGTGATGCAAGCGTTTCTTAGACGTTACCGGGAGCAGAGCGCTGCAGGGATCAGACTGACAGAAATCATGTCTGCTGCTTGGTAGCAGCGTAGTGTAAATTCTGCTGTCGTCATTAAATGGCATTATGAAGAACTTCAATGGAGGCCTTCGAAGTGACGACAGCATAACAGTTTCTTATTAACGTCAGCAGCTAATGCAAACTCATAAGGGCCTTTTTTTTTTTTTTTCCTGGGGAGTGTATTATTTTTGGGAATGTAACTAGTTTTACTCGTGGTTCTAATCCTGTGAGAATCCCATACAGGCACAAGTACTACCAATAGTACTTGTACCACAATTTGCATTATTAAAATACGTCATTTGAAATGTCCATCACCATTAATTAAAGTGGAGGTGCAAGCAGTGCTATTTTTTGCGCTACCTTTGACTGAAATTTGTCAACTATTAGCAATGCAGGCTTAAATTATATTTCTCAGCAGTTTCAAATTTTCAAACACCACGACATGTTCAATAAAGGACATAGTGTAACATAGTGCTGCATGTGTTAAAGACTAAAGGACATACATAACATCAGAAGCCCAGCTATTACAAATTGTTATGTGTAAGGCAGCCAATATTAGATCATGAGGTTCTGACTTCTACAGGCCATTCTGTAAAATGTTCCTGACACAAATATGGAAATTTAAGTTTAGGAGTAAAACTGAAGGCCATAGTTAAACTTAATGGGTTTTTTTCTCCTTTTTTCTGATACAACACAACAAAATAAAATTGTCATGATCATGATACTTGTAACATAATTGATGTTCTCTTAGAGAGAGAAAGAAAAAGAGCAAAAATTGAAACAAAGAGGTGAAAACTTTGGGTTTTCACAATATGTCAGCTACTGTTTAACATATTGTTTTAGGATTAAGCAGACAGGAGTCTTTTCATTTTAAAGGTGCTCTATTTGGTTGTAAAAATAAATGATGTTCCTGCTTGGCTTGGGAGAGTCCTAGCTCTGGAAAGGCGAGAAACCTTTGAGATTTGAAATGGATAAATCTTCCACCCATTACAGGGGCCACAAGGGACATTAAGAAGACAATCAAGCATGAGTGCACAAACGTTTTCACCTAGGATGATCTTAGAATCGCATGTCAACCTAACATGCACAATTTTGGACAGTAGGAAGCCAGAGTATCTGGAGAAAATCAATGCACCAGCGTACATGCAAACATGCAAACTCAGCAGAAACCCCCCCCCCCCCCTCCACATCTAAGATCAGAGCAGAGACCATCTTAAAGTGAAAATTACCAATCCCTACACGCACCCCCCCCTTTTTTTTGATACCGTTTCTTGGAAAAACTACTTTACACGATGAATGTAGGGCATAAAAAGAGCTTCGGATTAGTTTACTGTCGATCAAACGATTGTTCCCAGTATACCTATTACATCATAAAATAATCCAGCAGAGCAATTCAGTAATTCAGCTACATCACAACGTAATGATCACAACAAACTAGGAATTAAATACATGAATCATTTATCTGCACTGGTCTTATGGACATTAATTCAGAGCATTTGTTTTGATCCGAAAACAGATGTGTATCTAAGGCAGCACAAATGTCCTCAGGTTGTTTAGCTTTCCTTCACAGGAGCGATGAGTAGCAGCAAATTCACAAGACAATTGTGGTTTCCACGTTACAGCTTTTCCAGATAAACAATCTGCACAGGTAATATCTTTAAAATATTTGGAAAAAAGGGGGTCAAATGTGTTATTCATGCTCCAAGGTTAGCTGGCAGCGCCATGCAGTCTCACAGCTTGCAAAGGTGTTTGTTGCTTTTTTTTTTTTAAGTTTAGCCCATCCCCTCTGTTGCATGTTTGGACTCCAAACTGGACAGGATGGACTGTGTGCCAGATATCAGTCTGCCCCATACTGACCCAAGATGACCTTTACAGCAAGTACAGGAAATGACTGTCTGGTTCTAATAAAATGACATTAAAAAAGGAAACGATACAAAAATGTTATCTGTAATGCTTTTTAGATAAATGTTAGTAACTTTTTATGACACTCGGGTTCTGATCATCAAAACATTGGTAACTACTTAATAGCAAGAACAGCATACCCCATTTTTTTTATATGATTATTAGCACATATTAGTCAGTAATGGTGCAAAAACAAATCTATTTGTGCCGTTTTTGTAAAGAGTAAATATTACAAACAGCTGAATTTAAAAGCTGTGAGGTACATTACTGTCGTTTTATATCAACTCTGGTCTCTCATTGCTACATTCACAAGTTAAACATGGAATAGGCTACATTCTCAAAGAAGTATAATGTGGAAAGCTAAGTTCAAACATAAACAAGATGGATTAACAATCAGACAGCCATGCATGCTTTTGGAAGAAGCAGATTTTTATTTTATTTTTTTTTTAAAAAAAGGGGGTTTGCAATAAAAAAAAAGAATGGCTGCTTGTAGTTAAGAGGTAATAACGGTATCTATGGTCTTAAAATGTGCAGAATAGCATCTGGAAACGTGCAGCTGTGGAGCCTTTATGTCTGTTACAGTCTGCTCACATCGGTTCAAGTTTAACACACATTATCTGGATCCAAACGCCAGCTGCCAAATTCCCACATTCTCCCACACGCCTTTCAACCCTGCTGCAGTTTCTGTTTACTTTCTCTGTTTTTTTTTTTTTTTTCTAATTATTTGCTGTTCTTATCGTTGTGCAGAGGGGCTTCAGTGTGATCTGAATCACAATAACAAGCAGAGCAACACCGATCTGGACCCATCCAGTCTCCAGCCCCTCACAGCTTCCCTGCTCTCCCTGCAAACAGGGAGCCATCCATTGAGGCGCTCAGACTGGGGGTAGGGATTTTTTTTTTGAACCTCCCTCCCCTTCTCCTTCTTACCTATTTTTATTTTTACGCTCTGGAAAACCCGAAGACCTTCTTCTTCTACCGCCATGGCTTCACCGTAGGTCTTTCCCTTTTGAAGCTTAAATGAAGGCTGTCCTCCACGGCTGTTGTTTCTGGCCTCTCCAGCGCTCGGATATTCCAGGGGCTTTGCACATCTATGTTCTGCGGACAGCGACCATTCTCCGGTCCGACCGCTGCTCCTGCTGTTGCTGGAGATCTAGTGAGCGGATTGAGCTCCAGCCCCGCCGCAGCAGCAGCAGCAGCAGCGGTGAAGGAGTGGCCCCTCACAAACACCGCCCATCGGAGGGTATGGAGGGTAATCCGTGCCTGCAGGGGCGGTGCAGAGGAAACGCAGTCCATGTAGCGGATTTCAAGTACTGCTTCCCAGGGAAAGGCAAAGTGTAGAAGGAAAAGCATAATTTTTTTTCTAGTTAAACAACTTCTTGTTTATTGGAGAGTTTCTCACAGAGTAGATGTGCTGCTGAGACTGCAGCACCTTGAACTAATGAAGAAAGGCAGGAAAGAAAGGAAGCAGTGAAGGAAAGAATGAAATATAAGCTTAATATATGCTAATGAGCTGTTTTTGAAGGTACACCAGAGCTACAATAAAGCTGCAGTATGAAACTTTTATAAAGAATATTTCTTACTTATTTGTTAAAACTGTCACTACGTGTCCTGACTGTATGTTATGAGACAGATAATTTGTGAGAAAAAAAAATCGAGTTCCTCTGCCTTCTCCCAGTGCTCCCAGTGCTAACTAGAAACAACCAATCAAAGCCAAGAGGAGGGTCTTAGCACTGTCAATCACCCTACGTTTGGCGCTGCTCATGTCCCCTCTGTCTTCCCCCCTCGCTCTTCACTATGCTGCGACTAGCATAGCATGGTGGCAACCTCCGCCTTTTCCGGGCAGATTTCTGACTCATGGTCTTGTTGCATCCTCACCTCAGTACAAACAGAAAGCACTACAGGTTTGGATGCAAATATTTTACCACCACCAGCTGAATATTTTGAGCCATTAGCTACAACATGTAGCTCACAATAGGCACGTTCGCAGCTCTTGGTATCCGCTTCTACTTGTTTTGTGTCAGTAGTAAATAGTCTTGACAATTCTGTCATATTGTCATAGAAATAGAAATGACAACACTGTAAATTTTCAATGGGTCCATCTACAACAGCCTACAATTTAGTCTCCTCCTCTTCTTTGAAAGCATTACACCCCATGTGTAGAACCAGGTGCCTTCCCTTCCAGAACCGCCAGCCGTTTCCTTCCTGAAACAGGCTGGATATGCAAAAAAATCAGAGGGAAAAACAAGTTTAAACAAGGAATTAGAAAACAAGGCAACTGTGGCTCAGTGATATTATGGCTGTTTTCTAAATAAAAGACAGGGATTTCCCCATTCATACCACATGTTTAGGTATCCACTTGGAGTGAAGTCATTGCAGGTTTGGACCACTTATGAATACAAGTCACTCTTTTTATAACTGCGTTGTAGAGTCGTACCTAAAAACACAGGACACAGTGTGCAATTTTACACTCTCCTGTGCATCATGGATTTTACGTTTAGCTTTTTGCAAGTCAAATTGACTGTCATCCTTTTACATTCAAAAGCCTGAATTGAATTGATAACAGTTTATGTCTCTGACTGTGAACCTTTACTAAGATTGTTTTGAATGGAAGTGAGCATAACTACCTGCCATTACGTTGGCCTTCTAAAGTGAAAAGTTGAATTCTTTTTGTTGCTTTAATTAACAGCACTGTAATCAAAATGCATACATGGAATAAAAAGATGCACACAGCTCTTTCTTATTGTCTGAAGTTAAACCTAAAAGGTTTGGTCCAAATTTGATAGCTTAATGTGTGTAAACTTCTCAAGTTGAAGAAAGTTAAAAATATATATATTGTGAAAATTTCTGGCATTTAGCAAATAAAAATATTTTCGGTAATTTGAACTGACCTAAAACAAAAGAGGTTTGCTCTGATTTAATTTCAGGCAGTGAGAAATGTGTATGTGTCTTTTTATCTGGTGTATATAAACTTCCGGTTTCAACTGTGTATTCTGTTTTGCTACCATCGTTTTCTCTAAACTAAATGAACTGTTCAAAAAAATTCTACAGAGGTGTGGATTCATATAAACGTAAAAGTTGGAGCATTCATATGTAATCTCATATCTCTGAGTTCAGAAGAGAGGCAGTAGAAATCTTGGTCTCTAGTGCAGAGCTAAGAGTCACAGGAGGACGTGTGGTGTGAAAGGAGTCATAAAATCCCTTTTAACAGTAACGCAGATAGAAGGAAAATTTAGATCAGCACTGTCCCAAACGATGAGTAATAGCTGGACAGGCTTTAAGTTTCATTCAGGTGAATGTTGCATCACCAGCCCACACTCAGCTCATCACTCAGACCACATTACTAAGAATAGCCAGACCCAGGTCTGGAACTCTCCTATAAACCCTCCGGTCCAACCACTAGACACGTATGACCGGAGGAAAACTGAAAACAAACAGTTGTGAAGTCTCTCTACCAGGAATGACGTTTAACTGCGGTAACCCTGCTGCTGGCTGCAATGTGCTGGGATTATCTGGACTCTTTTAGAACAGCTCTAAATCTAATTAGACTATATGTCTCATCATCCCACTCTGTGCCCCAGTCATAAAGAGAAAGCGTACTCCTTCATAAAGAAGCCATTCTGCTACGGACCATTTCACCAGTGTGACTCACACAATAATATAATTTCATACTTTTAATACAGTCAAAACATTTTGTGTAAAAAGCTTAGAGATTCACTCTGTGGTTTCTGCAGATGTTAATCTGTGTTGCTAACTGAGACTCAAGTGAAATATTGTCTTAAAAGTATCTATACATAGTATAAGCCTGTATGTGTTAAGGTTTCCTCCAGTGTACTATAAGCCTGGCGGGCCACCAGACTTTACTTGTGCCCCCTCCAGGGTAAGTATTGTTTATTTTAGTTTTTTTAAGACTTTATAGTTGGTGTTTAGGTGTTGTTAATAACGTCTTCCAATGACACATGATTACAATTATGTATTTTTAACCCACAAACATGGTATGCGCTGCATGAGACTGCCCTACTGCTCCTTCCACTGCGCTTAGAAGGATTTCTGGGGGAAACTTTGTGTGTCATGGTGCAGAGTTTAGAGCGAATACACACTATATAAATGAAGAAGTTAGTGAATAAATGAATGAACAAACTACATGTAATTTGTCAGAGGATAAATATATGAAATTGAATGTGTTATATTGACTGTGCAAAGTTTGGTGCATCTCCTGTCTTAAAACACCCAAGAATGTCCATTTTAAAGTCAAATAAGTCAACTTTATACTTTTAACGGACAGGTTTAAAAAAATATAGTAATTTCTTTACATTGTGATCTCAGCAGATGCAGGTAAGACATCAACTAATCAAACAGCCCGGGTTAAGAATACAAGCTATAGTAATCAACATGTTATGATAAAACAACCCAATCATGTGTGCAGCTCAAATGCCATTTTTATGGGCTTCAGTTCCAAAAACGAGCTCTGAAATAATTTAGAATTTACTCTTAAACAAACAAATTAAAACTAGCTGAAACTTTTACTAGAAAGATCATCTTTTTCTCCGCTTACTGAAAGTGCAAACGGTGCAAAAAAGCAGTCGCCCCATCGCTTCATGTCACTGACATAATTACAATGCCAACAGGGCCTGCGCGTCTTTGGCTATCAGCGCTAAAACCCTGTGCCTCTTTTCATAGATAATAACCATGGTATTACCAACGTTGTGTCAGTAACCACTCAACACATGTAGATATTGAAGAAAGAGTGACATGCTGACATGAGAGGAAAGAAGTAATCAATTACAGTTCCTCTACAGTGGCCACATCCTGCTAGCTGTTTGTTTTTGCAGCTTGTTACAAAAACAGACCCATGATGACCCAATTATAAATTTACATTCTATTCAGAAAAAAAAAAAATCTCTGGCTGAAAACTGCCCTCTATAAAAATGTCTTGCACACAATGTAACAGCAGTCAAATGACCACATTATAACAAGATACCACTATCACAACACACTAGCCAAAGCAGTAGAGGTGAAGAGGCCAGTTTCTTAAAGCTGCGCGCATGGCATCACATAGGAAAATAAAGCTTTTAAAGGATGACTGTGACATGCTGTAGCTTCAGTTATACTCGAGACAACGCCCTGTGGTAAACCACAACTGTGCACTTCGTGCACGTGTTTGTTGAAAGGCACAAATAAATGCAGTCAACTCTTACACTGAGACGCCAACAGATCAAATACATTTACACAAAGACTTATTTGAAGAGACTATGCGTAAGTGTGCAATGAAGCAGTGTTGGTGAAAGAACGAGGGAGAAGGAGGCAGAAGCTGATTATGAGCAGATTAGTGAAAGGATGCTCAGTGGTGGTTTATTTTGCATCAGAAAAGTCAGGGGAACTGGGTTTGAGGGCGTTGGCCCATTTAAAATAACTGTAAGGGTACCACCAACCCCTCCCCACTGTTGCCTGTGGTTTTTTGCACTAAACAATCACCTACTGTAAACTATGCCTTTATGTAAAATGTAGTATATGTGTCTCTGTATGTGTGTGGAAGGGAGAGAATACCGAGTTGAACAGATGGCGACTGGATGGACAAACATAATCCTGGCATTACGGAGAAGACAAAAGCTTTATGAATGTATGAATCAAATCAGATTGTATGTAATTTGTCTTGTAGAATGACGTCTGGCAGTATTTTAATCTGGCACGGACACACTGTTGCGCTGGTGCAACCCAGCACAAACAAACATGAAGTGTCCATGCTGATCACATTTGATGTCTGCAATACAATAATGTTGTTTCCAACTCGTCCTTTCGAGCATCCCCTCTGCATGGGGATGCCACAGCAGAATCCCTCACTCCACATCTGCATACACACAGACTTGGAGGGTGTCTTAAACCTGTTGTGGCCTTCCTGACACAACACTTCCTGATTATCCCGAGAAGGAATGGGAAAACCTAGCAACAGCCCATAATGGATGAGCTGCATCAAGAATCAAAACATTTGACATTTAAATTGCATCTCTGACTTTGTTTGCTGTCATCCTTAGTGTAAACGGTTAGATAACATAGAAAGCACACAAGCAGCATCGCCGTTCTGTAGTGTAACAATACAACAGTTTTCATTTGTGGCCAGCGAAGGCACCTGCTAAGTGGGGATGTTTCCATGATTAGCTTTTTGATGGATAAAACTGTTACTGGTTATGGAATGAACATATATATATATATATATATATATATATATA